AATACGGCCCAAACCCTAACAAACAGAAGGACCATCACAAGATAAAGAGCGCCATGCCCAAAAGCATACGGGTTGAGTCAAATCAAGTAGAAATAATTAGGAATGGCCGGTAGCGGCCCTTGGTGCTCAAGCCTAATAACCCGACACGCCTCATTCGGGAAGCCTGGAGGGGGGATGATGCGCTGTGACAGGCCAAGATTCACGCAGACTGGCCATGAAGCGAGAATGGTCTTCGACCAATCAAACAAAATTATGTTCAGGTTCAGAGGTGAGGTGTGCTGTAGTTTTTCAATAATGCTCTACTTTGGGAGGCATAGGTAGTAAGAGACACTTATGAGACCTTCAGGTGATTTGAGTATTGGGAGTAGAATTTTTTGCTTGTCCATTTTTCACTCAAGTTTTGCTGAACAGAGCGACTTTTGTTCCTCATAAGGGTGCCAAGGCGGGTGGCATCACTGCACTGTAATCCTAGTACTCTGGGAGGCTTGAGGCAGGAAGGATGCTCAGCCCAGGGAGTTTGAATCCCAGCTGAGCAAGAGCAAGACCCTGCTCTACTAATAAATAGAAATAATCAATTCAATCTGACAACTAAATATATGTATAGAAAAACTTAGCCTGGTTATGCGTGATCGTTATTGCCTAGAGTATAGCCCAGCTATCCTCATGTGTAGGTCTGAAGCAGCAGGATTTCTTTCTCAGGATTTAGAGGTTAGCTGTGAGCTGGCTAATATCAGTCACTCTCCTAGCCCGGCTACACGATAGCAATCATTTTCGTCTCAAAAAATATATTGCCCTACTGTTGCATAAGACTAGTAATTAACCTGGCTACAGATTAACCCCCCCACTTTGATAACGAGTGAGATAAATGAAAAAGGCGAAAATAAAATCAGAATTAAGAAAATTGAAGAAGCTAGACCTAATAATGGGAATCCTGACGAATACTACCGTATGGCCACTTCATTCATGCCAATATATTTGGAGAATGAAACTAATAATTAGACAAATTCGTTTTTCTTTTAAGATTAATATCATATTAATAAATATAAACAAATATATCTTTGCCAGAGATATCGATCATAGAAGAATATAGAACTCTGAACGGTCCTATTAGATAGAAATGGAACGTCAAGTCACGTTATGAATCTTCGCATATAAGTAAGTGAACACAAAAACTCCAGAGCTAGAACCAGTGTTTTTAGCAGGCGACAAATCTAGTTCACAAAAATCACTAAACTATAGCTACAAGCTTCTTACCCTAAGCATAGACGAGACAAAAACAAAATCTTCATCTTTTTATACAGGCCCTAACCTTAAACTACACAATGGGCATACGTAAGGGAGACTCCTATACATGTCAATGCAGCAACTGCTCGCGCCAAAGTTTCACTTCATGGGACGTTAAACAGGCAATCATAAGTAGAGCAACCATAAATCCTGACCGAACAAATATTCGCTAATTATTGTTCTCAAATACCTGGTAGTCAGATTTTATAAATGGCCTTACCCCAAATTAGCTGCCAGCTCGTCCCTCCATTTATAGGGAAACAGACATTTATTTTTCTTCAATGTTCTTTTAGAATTGAGTGTGTTGGCAGTTTGACAGACGCTCCTTCAGCTCTTGGCTGCCAGGCGGTTCGCGAACTCATGACCCGAAAATGAACTGCCAGCAGTGGCATCTATGATGATTTTGATCTGAATCGCTCCCTCCTACCC